CTAAGATCGAGCCAACCAAGAAGCCGAATTTTCGTCGAGCCTCCAACGCAGTCTGCATATCCGCAGCCCAATCTTCATAGTTATCAGTTTTGAGTCGTGTAGGGGTAATAAAATCCCCAGGTCGATCTTGCGACCCAAGGTAAAACGGTGAATTTGGTTTAATTTATGTGAAAGGAGGTGGCGGTGGAACATCATCCCCAGCCATTGTTTACGGGATAAAGAAACTCAAAAAATAAACCTTGCTCTTGATACCATGTTAAATTGAATAAAACTCAATGACTTGATTGTATTGATTACTCTTCACCCCATATATAATACAAGCTTAACCCTATTATAATAGGATTAGGAAACTACCAAAAATATATCATAGAGATATTCTAGGCATAAATTATGATACAAAATATATCCTAAAATATTCCCTAAATATATCCCGCAATACAGCAGCCATTACACAACGTGGAGCCTCCTCAACCCATACTCTCATCTCCACTAGCTTGGGCAAGTTTATGAGCAGCAACATTACCACATCTACTTACATGAGAGAAAGAGATAAGATTGTTAAGACTAGTAAGCTTAACAAAATCACTGATAATAACTTCCTGTTTCACATGCTTCAAATAAGAAAAAAGTTAAATGTTATCGGTCTCAAGAATAGTCTTACTAAGGCCAGCATCCATAGCAATTGTTAAGGCAAATCTTGCAGCACAAAGGTTTTCATTGATCTTCTCCCAAAGTGTCCAGCATTTCTCTTCAACCAAATTCCCTACAAAAGACACCAAAATAAATCCCACCAAGATTTATCCTTTGAAAATTTATCCCTCTCAATTTTCAAGTAATAAGGCAGTGATATCTAGTTCAAAAGACTAAACAATTTTTACTGTACTCAACTCTATTGTCTAATGCTTTTGTAAGTAGGATAATTCCCTTCTTTGCAAAAAAAAAAATCCATAAAAGTAAGGCCTAAAATTTTTTAAATACTACCATGCACTTTTTTAAAACTCTTTTATCTATTGTATAATGTCTATTTGGTTCAAAATTATCTGAAATTCGGAAAGCTACTCAATACATTAATTTCAATTTCTTCAATAAAGTATAATTTCATATTGCAGGATAACAAAAATTCTAATTCAATTTCTGTAGGGATTTGTCATGCATCTATATATCTACATACCCATTTTTGCTATAGTTGTTTAATTAATTAATTATTTTTTTTATTTTTTTCCTAATCGTCCAATTTTATGACAAATGTGTGGATTATATGTTTCTTGTATTATACATGAACTTACAATGACATTGCTCCACGAAGTTGACACTACTTGGAGTTGCTCAAACTTGTAAAACAGTATAGTTTAAACATCTTCGTAAAAAAAACAAAACAACTTGAAGACATACACTTCTTTTATGGTATGGTTCTGTCAACTATCTATTACTACCTTCATTCATATGTGCAATATTTACTAAATGTCTTCTTTCCTTCTTAATAAGTTGTCATTTCTCTATATTTATCTCTTAATCACGTACATTTCTATATTTCTCTCTCTCATTTAACACTCACATACAAATTTTACCTAGAAGTCAGTATAAAGGTCTTTATTGTACATAATTTGAGACAGAATTCATCCCTAACTCTAATTACATCATTATCAACCAAAGTAGCTAGCGAGAGCCGATACACATACAACCATTGTATGTTGTCCCTACATACAACACCATTAGAAATTTGACACATCAACAGAATATGGGAGAAAATTAGGAATCAATTATAAATTAAATTTAATGGAACTTGTGCCTATTATTTTAGCCAATAGAAACATTACAAATTAGAGTTGTATGTAGGGACCACGTACAACAATTGTATGCGTAGCCTTTATCGTAGCTATTTGTACAATTATTCACATATGAAGTTACAACTTTGTGCAAACTTAAATAATAATTAGGGTAAGTGTTTTCTCTTGATCAAAATGCTAAAAACTGCTCAATGCTACCGTCGAACATGCCAATTAAATTGCACAATAAACTGAAAAAGTATATTTTCCGGACGTTATTAGTTACAAGAACACGTGTAGGAAGAGCAAGGTACATATAATAAATTAGAGAAACTGCGTAGGTGAAAAGGCGGCAAGTCGGTTGTAAGAACGTTAAAGTTGAATGAAATAGCATAACTTAAGGCAAATATACTACGAGAAAGAGTAGTATCCTGTTTGTTTTGCAGTAATTGCGGTGAGATGAAGAAGATCTGATTTCTTTTGAATTTAACAAATGCGATGTCCCCCAATTAGCCATACATTTTTCTAATTTTTGGGATTGATTTTTGGGGGGTAATTTAAGTTTCACATGTTTGCAATCATGTATTGTTCACGCCTTTTTTTTAAAAAAAATAAATAAAATGGTTTAGATATTTTGTTAATAAAGATCTTAGGGATCACATTAAGTGGGAAGATTGGAAATTAATGTGTAGTTGCTTTTGCTTTGACTCTTTTCCATAATTGTTTGATTAAAAAAAAAGTTTCTTCTAATAGCTAGTTTGAATGTTTGATAATCAATTACTCACGTGATAACAAATAGAGGTAATATATTAAGAATAATGATTTATAAGCCTCTAATATATTTTCTAAATTGTACATTATTATTATGGATTTGTATGGTAACTTCATGCTTCGATTGATGTAATTATTGTTCGAATTCATCGGTAATTTTCACTCTAGATTTAAGAAGAAAAACGCTAAATAATATCATTTCTCATTATTTCATAATACAAATAGGAGTACATTTTGCTAAATTAAAGAAGAAAAGCGCTGAATAATGTCATAGCTATTGCTCATATACTTGTCCTCTTTCTTTCTTTAGTATGTTGATAGATGATATTGCTTGTCCACTTTCTTTCTTATTGTTTTATCTATTATGATATGTACAATCTTAAGAGTTGCTTATAAATGTTAAATGCATTTCTTAAATGGCTAAAAATTTGAAAATATATAATAATAAAATAATCGCGTGTTGATCACTGTTTTATAATTCATAATCTTTCCCTTTTAATCTTCTTATAAGCAACTCTTAATATCATATTTACCTTATCTTATTTTATTTCATTTCATTTCATTACCATATCCAATTCATTATTACCACTTGTAGGTGTGATATGGTACCCAATAATAATGCATTTTGTTGTAAAAACACATTATTGAAGTGGAAATCCATAAAGTATATGAGGGTTGAACTTTTGTGAAAAACTTTTCTAATGAGTTAAAAGGACACATCGAAGAAAAGTAATTGAAAAACAAACGTAAAATTTGACCAATTGACCTCCATCAATTAAGAAATAAGGGTTGAACTTTTGTGCATAATTAATGTTGCTAAATATTCTGAGTTCTGACATAGATTAAATAAACCCAAATTTTGATATAGATTGTTATTTCGAGTCACATTCTCGGGATTATAATGTGTGTTTGGGTAATTGTGTGTTTAGTATAGCTAGAGTGGTGTGACTGGTGAGATGTAACTAAATTCAGCCTTTAATATGATCTATATAATGTTGAGAGTTGAAATGATATTTATGACAAGGGGAGATTCTAAGGGAACACATTCTCACAATAAGTTGCAAGTGATAACCAACCTTAACATATTCCCTTTTTAATTCTCTCCGGTCCTTTGAAAATTGTCTCATAATTCTAGTGATCGTTTGATTGAAATTGGAAATAAAAATTCACTAAATATGCGAGTTATGATAATAAAAATTGATAAAGGAGTTGATAACTTTATCTTTTAATGTGCGAGATAAAATAAAATTAAAAAGAGATTGTAAGTACTATATTAACTCAAAGAATATTGGCTTTTAGGGATAAAATAAATTGAACCCGAAAAATATGTTGATGTTATTATGGGATCAAGGATATAATGCGTTTAAATTAGGGCTGAGCAAAATTACCCGAAAAACCGGAAACCCGTTTCGTTACCGTTCCGAAAATTAGGGTACCCGATCCGATAACCATAACGGTTCGGGTACCCGTTCCGATAATTTGTTATCGGGTATGGTTTTTGGGTATCATTTTAAAATTAACGGTTTCCCGTTCCGTTCTGATAAGCAATTATTTTGTTTTTTTTTCCTACTTAAATCTATCTTTTCAATATTTAAACTCTTACATTACTTCGTAATCACTATATAATATTAATAATTAGTAATGTTATTAATAATTTGGTCAAGATCATGTGGTATTGTTGTTAATTAGTGTTAAAAAATATCATAATAACTATTTTTGTAAGTTTTATTATCACTATTGGATACTTTATTGGGTACCCGATAACCGTTCCGAAAATCCGGGTACCCAAAGTCCGGGTACCCGAACTTATCGGTTCGAGTTATGGATATCACTTTTAGTGATATTGGTTATCGGGTACCCGAATCGTTACTACTAATGGTACGGGTACCCGTCCCATGCTCACCCCTAGTTTAAATCCTTCCTCACTCTTTCCCTCCCAATGAGCCTCAAATGAAACCTTTCAAAATGCAAAAAGTGCTTCCAATCATTTTTGTTATGACTTGAACTTGTTAGTGTTTGACAACAGTTAAAAAAATGTACACTAAGGTTCGGTTTCACCAAACCTTACCCTTTTTGGAATTTTGCAAGGTGAAAATTGAAGGACAAAGTAGTATTATTCATTTATTTGTAAAGTAAGAGGTACTCTATTACATTTTTACTTGCTTTAGTAATAAACATACTATAGTATCATTGATGTCGATGCTCCTTATCAACTAATTTTCCCGTTCCATTAAACTTGTCCCAGTTCAATTACTAAAATTTCTTTTTAAAGGAGAGAAAAAGAGATAAAAAACAAGAAAATGACAAAATAACAGCGTCACATGCTAAAATTTCAACCAAGTTTTAGAAAAGTAAAAATTATCACATGAGACAATCTCAGAGAGACATAAATAGCACTCCGTAGTTAAACTATATCATGTGTGCTTGTGCATTACAATTGGTCCATTGATAAAAACTAGGACTAGTAATGCACCATCAAATTACTCCAAAAGATGATAAGCAAAAGAAATGAACATGTTTACACTTACATAGATCATGAAAAGCTTTGACTAGTAGACAACCCATTGGTCCACATTTCTTGATGAATTGGCCCGCTCTTTCATTTTCATTTTCCTCAACCAAATGACCTCCCTATTCATGTACGCGCATTCAAAGCTAAAGTTTGCAACAAACACCACTCAACACCTAAGCATCTCTTTTCCTTTTCTCCCCCCTTTCCCTTTTTATACTTCTTCTTGTACTCCTTACTTATACTTTTGTCACTAATCATTTCACACTACACTACATTCACAACTTCCTCACTTGCTTACCAAGTCGATCATGTAACTATGACTCGACTCGAAACACTCTTCCTCACCATATTCTTACTATCGTTCTGTTCTACAAACTTTGACCTTAGTTCCGCCCTTGAATTCAAAGAAGCACCTAAATTTTACAACTCCCCAAATTGTGTAAACAATGATCAAACCGTCCACATTGCAATGACCCTAGACGCCACGTACCTCCGTGGCTCTATGGCCGCGATCTTATCAATCGTCCACCACTCCACTTGCCCCGATAACCTCCGATTCCACTTCATATCGGTCTCCTCCACCGCCACGAGTCGTGATCTCAACCGTACAATAGCCACCTCCTTTCCTTACCTCACATATTACATGTACTCATTGGATGACGCTAATGTTGCCGGTCTTATTTCCACGTCTATACGGTCATCCCTCGACTGCCCGTTAAACTACGCGAGAAATTACTTAGCTGCCCTTTTGCCGGAGCGTGTGAAGCGCGTGGTGTATCTTGACAATGATGTTGTTTTGGTTGATGATATTGGTAAACTTGCTGCTACTTCTCTTGGAGAAACCGCTGTTTTGGCTGCTCCCGAATATTGTAACGCTAATTTCAGAACGTATTTTACGCCGTCGTTTTGGGCTAATCCTGCTTTGTCTATGACATTTGAAGGCAGAAAAGCTTGCTACTTTAATACAGGTATGCCATTATTTTTTTGTAACATCTTTACTTTTTGATTTATTTGCTATACAAATACGAATCTGTTCTACTGGACTTAATATTAAAATAAGTTTTTAAAAAATATAAGTGAAGAGAAAAAAAATCGCAAACATAAGTTAAATTTAGCAAAAATAAGTTATAGCTAAGTACAATTAAATTAAGTCGAGGAGAGCAAAATACGGTACACTTAATAAGTTGACTAGTTGCACATGTTAAGGCAACACACACGACTATGAGTGCGAAATTGCGGATCCATCTTTATTTTAACATAGATTAGATTCCGAATTGAAGTAATTAATTGTACATTGATTTTATACCTTCATTTAATAACACAAGTACTAAATCTAATTAAGTATTGAATTAGTAAGGGTGCCAAAGTTTTGAATGATAGACATAAGTTAAATATTTTATGCTAGATTCTATTACGTCAATTGTAGATGGCATATTTAATTTTTTGACACATTAGAACATCATATTTCAATAATGTCACTAAGTGATCTAATAAATGTTACGGAGATTATATTCTCTCTGTTCCTTTTTATAGGCAAGTATTATATGCTTTTTACGCTCGTTTTTATTTTTCAAAATAAGTAAGAGATTGGGTGTACCGTATACCTCGAGGTATATAGAGGTAAAAGAAGAAACTGTTATTGGAAAGAAGATTTTAGGTTGATATGATTGTTTATGACTGAGGGGGTCTTGGAGATGCTTGTACGATAGTGTTTTAGTCTCTAGCTAGTTGGTGATATTATCATATCAGAGAGTTGGGAATCTAAAACTTCTGCTTTATAGGTATAATGCGATGAGAGTTGTATACCACCTTTGATAAGCTGTTGGCAGAAATTCTAATAATAGTAACATCTTCTACTATTTGTTAGAACATTGGACAATTAAGAAATTAAGGGACCGAATGTTTCTTCTAAACCCGTGATAAGCTATCTATGATTTTAAGGAAAATGTACGATAAAATTAAGAGTTTATTATATAAATACGTCCATTAGATACTCGTGGAGAAAATATAAGTTAATATCCTATTTCAACATGGTATCAGAGCCAACATGGCATAAAGGTTACGAGTTCGAATCTCATTCATCCCTCCTTATAAAGTGGAATATTAAATGCAGGGTATGAGGATGGCCCATGGGCTCTCGTATAAAAGGGGGTAAATAAATGCGTGATAGAGCATATAACATATTCACAAGTTTCAACCACCAGCTTAAACTTTTGATTTAATAAATATTTCAGCAATTGACAATCAAAATACTAAATGTACGTAATGGATTTATATCGGTGTAAGTATTGAAGAAATTTTGTTACTGTTGTTGATGGGTGTGCTTGAACATATGTTAGATAGCCATGCATAAAAAGTCAATTGAGACAATAAATGTAGGATTGGAGTTAAGTTCTCTTGTCAATTAATTGAACATCAACTAGTGCTCAGATATTTTCTAGTGGGAAGGGAAGTGTCCGACGTGAAAAGAAAATTATGGGTTCAAAAGTAACGTATACTTGTATAATCTATAATACTTTGATATAGATTGACTAGTGATTGGTGATGCTACATGACATAATGCATGCTATTCATTTTTACATAGGTTTATCTTACTATAATCAACTTTATTTGGGCCTAGCTAGTATTTTGAACTTTTATTTGATCTATGTTAGTTGTAACTTGTAGATAACATGTTTGATTATATGTTCCATATATGATATATGTATAGAACGATTTTAGGTTCTATTAGAGTGTAATATCTGTATAGAGAGTCAAAATTGTGAACTCAAAGTCATCGACAACTTCTCTTTACAACTCTACAAACAACGTAAACCTAGTAACGTCTTGCATCAATGTAAATCTTGTCACCTTCAATAAATCATGTAAACCCCATATTGTTCTAGTAGGTTGGATTATAAATATATACTTGTACAAAGTTGTTAGGTGCAAGACAAATAGAGTTAATTTCATATCAGCTGACGATTATATTTTCCGACCACGAAAATTTCGACAGGTGTGATGGTGATTGATTTAGAGAGGTGGAGAAATGGAGATTACACAACAAAAATTACAGAATGGATGGAATTACAAAAAAGAATGAGGATTTATGAATTGGGCTCATTACCACCTTTTTTATTGGTTTTTGCTGGGAAAATAGCCCCAGTTGATCATCGCTGGAACCAACATGGGCTTGGTGGCGATAACTTTCGTGGGCTTTGTAGGGACCTACATCCAGGCCCAGTTAGTCTGTTACATTGGAGTGGTAAAGGTAAGCCTTGGGCCCGTTTAGATGCTAAACGGCCCTGTCCATTGGACTCACTTTGGGCCCCTTATGATTTGTTGCAGACACCTTTTTTACTTGATTCCTGAAAAAAAAAAAGTACCTTTTTATGTAGTATTTTCTATCATCTATAGGTAGGGATGTTAGGATGCATATAACATACTATATGTATACGTAAGTTTTGTTATTATTACAAGTAACTTCCAATGTATTGAAGTTGTAGAAATACAAAAATGAGCTTGTTTATCATCAACTTGTTGATAACAAGAGAAAACGCGCGTATAAACGTACACATTAGAATGAAAGGTTCAACCTGTATGGTTGCTACGTACTTACATGCCAATTGTTAAGCTTATACTCCGTATTAGATAGTATATTTATGTAGTAAGTACTTTCCTTCATCTTACATATATAGTCACATACGTAGTTTATTATTTCAGGGTCTACGTCTCTATGATGGTGATGTGAAGCCCGATTTTAAAAATAAGACAGGCATCTAAAAATTTTACTTAATAGTTGTGAGCAAAATGTATACAAGCATTAGAAAAACTAGGACAAGTTTGTTCATAATTGTTCGTTAGCATATACAGAACATTAAACACCGTTAGCGTAGTGACATTAGACATTGATACAGGAAGTAAGAATACAGTTGCTCATGATCCTCAGGTCCTATTATAAGCTCAAATTTCATCTTTCTAACGGTTGTATATGTAATGCTACAGCTAGGATACAATTGGCTTTGGCGCTTCCTCGTAGTAGAATTCTTGGTCTGCCTCCCTAGTACTCCTCCTTCGCATGTGTTTGTAGTACACATACTGCATGATTATCTTGAAAAGAAGCAGTGTCAAGGCATAACAAACCGTCTTCTCAATACGTATTCATACATCAGTATGATTCAAGACCTTGGACTAATAATGGTCAGATTTCTTAGAAATGAAAACAGATATAGAAATTTAAAATTAAGGGAAAATAAAGGATACAAATAGATCAAGCACCACGCAAACGACAGCATCCAGCAACCAAGGCATGTTGGCTTTGATTTCTTCGAATTCTGTATGTCTTGCCAATATGCTGCATTTGTTATAGAGATAATGAAGTGTGAAGTTTAGAACGTTTGACCAAATAACAGTGACTGATTGTAAGTTCTAACAAGAGAGGAGTCAGAAAGAATACCTTGCAACATAGGCGACATTAGCAATAAGTGCAAACATAAACATCAGTGGATTCAGGCCCTACAAAAGCATATGACAGCAGAGTTATCCATCATGAAAACAGGATAAGGGGAACTATCCGTTACAATTGATTTAGATAAGTGTTAATAAGGTCCGATGACAAATATTACCTCCACACTTCCTCTTTTGATCTGGTCAATAAAAGACAGCAATAATGCTTGTTAGTATCAAATAGTGTTGCAGGAACAAATCAAAATAAAATCAAGCAGTGTAAAATGATTTAGTATTAGGAAGTATAGTATGGCTTACATTCCAAACGATCTGAGGAATCCGGCCGCCCATGTAAATAGCAGCCATCAACCAACCCAACCATTGACCCACTGCACTATGTTCTGAAGCATGTTCCTGCATATGTAGATTAGTTTAATGTCTCATATTGAACGATATCACAAGTAATGAGTTAAGTTCTGAAATTATATGTTGTTGGAAATGAATAGGCGTACGCTTAACAACATCCTCCTCCCTGTAAAGCCCCTGTAAGCTTCTGATAATGCATTGCCCCCACTTGGCAAGTTAACAGACACGGCCACCATTGCTCCTCGAGCAGCCTACCAAAAGGCAATTGACAAAAGAATAAATGAAAATTGATGCTATGTGACTGAGTATGCTATTGATGGATTATAAGATCTTTTCAGAAAGTTCGATTCTAACAAAAAAATGCTCTGTGATTCATGACAGAGAATGTAAAATAATTGTCCTCTTGAATTAATCCTCATTATCTTAGGCTGCATTATGTTTAATTTTCTCAATAAGTTTTGTTTTTAGTCATTACAATTATCACATATGCACACTAACTTGAGGACAACGTAGCTTTTTATATTTTTAATTAAGTAGACAAAATGTTCGTTATATTCTTATCTCAATTCTCTTCAGTCAACAACACTCGAATCAATCAACATACAAAATCTTAATTACTGTACGTGATAGAGTATAAAACATGATAGATTATAAAACATATTCCTGGGCCTCAACCATCAGTTTAAGCTTTTGGTTGAGTTGGTCCTTTAACATGGTATCGGAGCTAGCGTGACACAAAGGTTAGGGGTTCGAATCTCATCCGCCCCTCTTTCAAAGTGGAATTAATTTGCGCCGGGTATGAGAGGGTCTGTGTTGCATCCACATTTCAAGCCCAAAGGGTCTTTCATGTGGCTTTTGGTTGAGTTGGTCCTTTAACAGTACGAGTCTTACTTGCAGGTAACAAACATCTTCAGCAAATCTAACAAACGGAGTTTTGCACAACTTTTCGAAAACATTCAAGTTACGGGTCCTGTAAGAAGCTAACTAAGACAACCTCCATAGCACCAATGTGTCAATTAGTATGTAATGGGGACCAATAACTTCATGATTGTTTTCATGCAAAACCTTGGACTACATTTTTACATTATTGTCAATATATTATATATGCATAAAGGGTACTTTCGTAAATATAGCATAGAAAATACAAAGTGTGCAAGATAATGAAAATGACTTGTTTTTTAAATTCATAAGCAGCTAAACTGGAGTAGAAATTAGTTCATGAATGTGCACCAGAAAATATGCACAAGTGGCAAAATGAGTAAACCTAAAATATGTTGAAAAAGAAGTGAAAACTTACAGGACGTGGAATTTGTCGCGGTAGGCTAGTGCCTGTGGTACCTCTCTTAGCAGGTATGGGAATAGGATTAGTCTCTTCATCATCTGAAGATGAGTGGTCGTCGAGCCCCACTGCTGAGGGACCGCTCCTAGGGCCCGACCTCAGATAAGATCGGAATGGGGGTGTGTCACTCCCAGCTAGAGACCTTGCTGACCTGCATTTACATTACACGAATAATTTGTTCAGCTCATCTTTTAGTTCAACATGTTTGGATATATGCTAGCTGATTTTCTAGGATTATCTACAACTTTACGTACATGTAGTATCTTCGTGTTGGTGCTCTTACTGGAGAACTCGGGATTGGGATACCTGCCTGATCTGTTGGCTTCGGATTCAGTGGTTTTTTCACTTCTTGATCAACCTATATATTATCAACATTATCTAACCAACATGACAACATAATAAAATGTACAAATAATTAGTCAATTAATGTAACATATATATAATTACCTCGGTATGGACCTTATCATGACGACATTTCCACCACGAATAGAAGTAATCATAGTACACGCTCTGCAACACTAGCACTATTGTGCTAATTGCGTAAAACTGCCAAAATTCGAAAAATATAATGCATGTAAGTTCATGTAGCGACCCAAAATAGCAAGTAATTAAAATCCTTATTGTTTATGTCATAACAAAGGTGACAAATGAGGTACGATAGCTTAAATCTATTGAATTTGACTATAATCCCATCATAAACTTCGGCATCTATATGATTTGCTTATAAACCATATGAATGCATCATTCGATAAGTACATCAATCCAACATAATCAAAATATCTCATGAGTGATATGCGCGGTGCCCTGGACCAAGTGCATCGTTCTGTCTACTAACACAGAGTGAACATTTTGGCACAAAAATGCCTTAAATTAAAAAGAATATTCTCTAAATCCTAAGGGAATAATACTTCCTAGAGAACGGTTTTTATTTTTGAAGCAGTCAAGAAGCATCAAAACATTTATGTAGTGGATATTCTTGACTCAACTATTTTTCTTTTAAATTTTAATCATGCTAACATAACAATTTAAATGACCTTTATTTATTTTGTATCCAAAATAAGTAAGTAGTGAAAACTGAGGAGTAAGGACGAGAATAACAAGATACTAACCAAAGCTGTATAGAACTGGGTTGGCAGCTGCAAAATCACATACAAACAAAATTTAATTTAGTTAACAACCAAACAAATCGAAGCACTTAAGACGTAACGCCAAACATGGACACTTATTTCGATAAATTAAAAATTCAAACAATAATTATAACAAATTTTTTATAAGTATACATGATCATGATTTTTTAAGCACTAAAATACAAAATTATTAAGGGAAAGAAGAAAATAACATAAAAGAGCGAGGTAAATTATTTTTTGACTTTGGTGTAAGTGTAAATGCATCATGTAATCATGTCAGCACTCAACTGCTTACATGACAACATGTACTCTTATAAGCTTCTACTTTCCGGTGTATGCTATTTTGCCTTTAATACGCTACGGAATACATGGATTACTACTCCCTCTGTTCCTAAATAATTTAGGATAATTTGTCAATTACTACCACAAGTTAATATTACTTTATAAATTACTACCGCAAATTAAAAAAGTTGTAAATTACTACCGCAAATTTTTTTAAAATGTTGCAATTACTACCAAACCCCCATCAAACCCAACTATGACGTCAGATATAATGACGTCATAGTTAAGGGCTTTAATCATGGGTTAAAGTGATATAATGACGTCATAGTTGGGTTTAATGGGGGTTTGGTAGTGATCGCAAAATCTTAAAATTTTTTGGGTAGTAATTCACAAATTTTTAAATTTGTGGTAGTAATTTACAAAGTAATATTAACTTGCGGTAGTAATTGACAAATTTTCCAATAATTTATTACAATGTTATAAATACAGTTACTTGTACTATCTACGAAATTAGGGAGTAATTGTTACCCCTTCTGTTTTATTTTATTTTTCCTACTTTGATCAATTAATTTGCCTAACAAAAAAATTCGAAGTAGAAAAAACAATACTCCCTCTGTCCCTAAATTACATTCCTACTTCTAGCATTCATTCTTCACATAATAAAGAGAAGTAGAAATGTAATTTAGGGACGAAGAGAGTACGAAACATAGGGAATAATAGCGTAGTGAAAATTATAGAGTACTTAAGCTCAAAAAGAAATGAAAAGTAAGAATAATGAAGTCAAGTTTAAGCTTGAAATAAGGAATATCTAGGGATGTTGATTACTCACCGTAGCCGGCTCCAGAAGGCACCCCGCTAGATTAAATATATCTCTGAAAACAATCAATAAAATAATAAATTTGTTACATGCACATATGCAACTTGTCACACTCAAAACAAAAGCTATATCATTTTTATTTTTTAATACACCTACGACCTACCATTTATGTATACAAAACAATTAGTACTTGTAAATCTTAATTAAGTAAGATCTTAATAAATTACTGCCACTACTATTGCATAGATAACAAAAATGATTTTGTTTTCCCGTTTCGAAATATCGTAGGTGCATCCTTGTCCCCCCGGATGGAGCGTTCTACTAGCTTGTTGTTTCCTTACATATAGGGCTGGCCACAACTATGTCCACAAGTCGAGCTGAACTAGCAGAGGTACACTGCCGATAGAGTATAAAATATATTCCTGAACCTAAGAATTAGCTTAAACGGAAGGTTGAGGTTCTGGAATAGGTTTTATACTCATTTTGCTGCCTCAAATTGAATTAGACTACTACAATGACAATTACTAGTTCAAATTACAATATCAATACGACAACAAATTCCGAATCAATGGAGCAATAGAGAGAAATGAAGGGAAAGAATTACATACCCAAGAAACCAACCAATGAGGAAGAGAAGAGAAACACCATGGCTAGACTTGGTGCGAAAATTAGTGATGATTTGAGGAACCTCGGCAACAGCCCAAGCTATTAAACTAACGATACCAAAACCAAAGGAAAGATCATCTCTAACATTACAAAGGCAATCTTTGAAGTATTTTTGAACCCATCTCGAACATGGTTTGTTCTCTTTCCAACAGTATATTGCTCTGTTTGAAGACGCTCCCCTGTATTTCGCCTTCATTTTCTCTCTTTTCGTTTTTCCTTCTTTTGTGTGAATGGGTCTGGTTTTATATAGCGCTGGAGTTGTGGCTTACTTATTTAGTCTTTTATTAATATAATACTCTGTTTGTTCTACAAATGTACGTATGGAGTGTAATTTAGTGCCAGACCATAAATTAGTTGATTAAAGTTTTGGGGTTGAAATTAAATCATGTCTATATTATTATCCTTCCTCTATTTCTAAACTTATAAAATAATAAATATAATTTATATGATATAAACATGGTACCTATATAATGGTGGATAACGCTCTTCCTCTCTCCCTCTTTTCTAGGATTTTTAAAAAAATTTCGACCCTTTTCTCTTATTTTGCTTTAGTTTTGCAATTTAGTTTTTAATAAATCTACACAAGTTGTGACGTTGTGTAGATGTTCGTCCATCTCCCTATAGTGGAATAGTTAGTTTTTATTAGTTTAAGTTGTTTTTTTTTGGTACGTTTATAAAAAAATAATAAACTTTTGTCTTATTATCAATTTGTTGGTAGAAATTTGTCCAGGATCGTAACGGTTATTAATTCTTCAAATGCGTTCAAGTGAATCAGATGAAAATCATCCTTATAGCTACAACTAATCGTTAAATTGTCTCTCTGAAAAGGTTATATATTCCAGTAATGTGTGCGAGAGATAGACCACAGTGCAAGATCTATTCAACTACTGTAGTTTTGATGAAGGAAACTCTTATTTGATTCAATTTATATATTTGTTGATCTAGATTTCATTTATTGTGTCGTATGCCTTTTATTAATGATTTTTTTTTTTTAAAAAAAAAAAAAATTACTATGTATAATGGTGGATTGGTAAATTAATGGGATTATCCATAAATGGAATGAAATATTCTTGTAGGCAGGTTGTAAATGAAAATTGGTATTTTTAGGTGGAAGGAATAATAGTTTATTGGATTCAATTTTTAACATCACGAATTCACGATTATCAATGTTCTATTTTGACTAATTTATATATTCGGTTAACTATTATAGGGTAATTACTTATTTATAAACATTGATTACCAATGTTATGAACTAGCATTAGATTAATTTAAAGGTTTTTTTTTTTTTTTTTTCCACCCGGTTCACCTTTTGGGCTAATCTGGATTCAGAGATTAGTTTTGATTCTAATCCCTTCCCAATTGTTATTGCGGGGGATCAGTTATGGGTGGTTAGATCGATTATTTTAAGTGATTGTAAAAAAAGATTGTATTAACATTTCTTCAATTATACTCTGTAAGAAATACCTGAAAAATAATTATATTGTACATTAGAATTGAAATTATTCAGATCCATGACTTCTTAATGTTAAATAAAATATTGTTATACTTTTCTTAATTGTTATTCTTTTCAATATGTACATACCTTCATGTAAAATTCCTTCTAAAATGAGTGTATGAGATTCAAGTATTCAACCCTGGCTAGCCTGCCTCATGTATGCATGCTTAAACTTATAGACCTAGCCAATTGTTCTATCTAGATTCTTACTTCATACTTTGAATTGTTAGGGTTGTGAGGGCGCAATGGAATTAAAGATTTAAAGATGACATAGATATTGAGAAAATTAATTGTGAATAAATATGGCAAGAAAATGACTAAAGAGAGACACAATTTATCGTTAGAAATACAAAAAACTACATTAGTAACAAATCAACGTTTGACTTTTTTTTTTCATCATAATATCACCAAATATGGAGTAATACTATTTGATAATTTTTGTAATAAATGAGAGATTAAACTCCGTAATTATTCATGACAAAAAAATTCAGAAATTGTGTTGTCTGAAAACTGTAATAAGCAAACATGATGCCATGCATACATACACTACCATGAATATAACCACAAATTATAACAAAGTTCAACGCTTTATTAAAATGATAAACTTACATGATATTTTATATTCTGAATCTGAAGCTTGATACCGTCACTATACATGTACAACATCGATCACCTCATTATTCTATCCCATGATAGTTCTGTTGTACTCCATATATAAGTAGCATGCAATGTTGTGTTGGTACCAAATGGTCCAAATGAGGCAACATTCATTTCACTAGTTATACTTATACATAATACAATACTCCCTTCATCCTTTTATTAAATACATGTATTGTTTTTTGACAAATCAAAATTAAGGACCTATTTCCATTTTAAGGTTATAAAATTTGAGAATATTCTCTACTTTTTGATGAGTTGTCATCAATTTGCTGTACTAATAAATTTTTTTACATCAATTTCTAACACTTTCTCTCTCTCTCCCTCTTTTCAATTATTCCCAACCACTAGATTAATCCCGTGCGATGCATGGTTTTAAATAAGAATTGAATTATAGACTTTTAACACGTACGGAAAGAAAATAACTTTCTCATTTTTCCTAACTAATTAATTTATAATTAAATATGAATGTACAATTCCCGAAAGTGCATAATTTTCATATTTAATTAAGAAATTTCAATTAAATTATATTATTAACTATTGTTAACAACTCGTAAATAACTAAATAGCATAATATGACATCATTCTTGCATTTTAGAGGGAAAAAAATTAAATAAAAAAGTGACACGTAAGTAATGATGACATCAGTGATTGTTATTGTAGTATATATATAGATATATAGATTATTTTTTCTTAGGGATTGACGAGTGATTTTAGTTTTTGATGAGCATTGGACAAATCAAAATTAAGGACCTATTTCTATTTTAAGGTTGTACGTACTTTTTGATGAGCATTGGATAAGATTACAAGCTAAAAGTAGAAATATTAAATTAAAATAAATATAAATTACATCGATTGACGCGTGATTTTATCATGCATTTCAAAATTAATACCATTTTAGGTTAAAGTTTAATTTTTTAATATAACGTCCGGGGGCGTTCGTTAACAAGGTCCTTTTCTAAGGGAAAATACAAGTTTATCTGCCAGATAAACGAATTTTTATTAATCTAGTGACATTTCAGTAAATCTATTGAAAAATAGTGGTAATTTATTTAGTAATTTTGGTGAGCTGTCTAATTACTATTTACAACTTGCATTTACTGTTTGATGCGGAAATTACACATGTACTGATTGTACTCCTCAATTAGTACATGAAAAAACGCATGGACCCCTCCACGGGTAACTTGGAAAAACAATAGATTTATCTGGGGAACTTGAAAAAACGATTTTGTTTATCTGGGAAATAATACTCCTTTTCTAAATATATTGTGAATAAATGAATGACGTTTTTACTTTCCAAAAATGATACTCCGATGTGTATTAAAATTAGTAATGTTTAACTACTCTCGACCCTTTCTCTCTCTAACCCTAGCCTTATCCTCAACCGCCCCCACCGCTCCTCCTTTTCTTACCCCCCTGCTCGCCGGCGACTGGCACGCTCTGCCTAGCCGTCGTCGGCGAGCCTAGCCCTGCAATTTCCTTTCTTCTCTAGTTTTTTTAGCTTTCGTTTTTGGTTAGTCGGTGTAGAAGTCAGGGGTTCTCTTGGTCGTGGTTTCGTTTAGGTTGATCGTCAGTGTTTAGCGGCCTACTGTAACAAGTCAAGAACCAAAGGCTAGCCTTAACGCCGTCGTTGAAAGGAACTTCGTTAATAGATTCCCGACGGTAAAGGTGAAGTTATGGTGCTAGCCTTAACGCCGCCGTTGAAAGGAACTTCGTTAATAGATTCCCGATGGTAAAGGTGAAGTTAGGGTTAGGGTTTCCTCGCGTACCCAAGGGTTGGTTCAGTGAGGGGTTCTTTGTGATGTCGTGGACGATTGCTTCGGGTGGTGGGTTGTTTGCTACAGTTAAGGGCTGCCGTAGAGGTTCCCTTTTCGCTCCCCTGTTTCTTCTCGCTACTTTACTGCTTTGTTTATTTTATTGTTTTTTTAATTTTATTTTGCTTTAGTTTACTTTTGTTGTGTTTGCTTATGTTGTGTGATTGGTTGTTTGGTTTGCTTTGTTTAAATAACTCTCTGCTTAGGCATGAGTTAGAGTGTGTTAGAGTACTTCTTGTTTCGGGAGTTATCGAAGTGTTGTTGTGGTTTTTGGAGCCTAGTTTGTGGTTTTTGTGGGTTGTAAGATTAAACGCCCCCTTTTTCGTTGGGTGGGTGGTCCTACTTGGAGCCTTGTTGGGGTGTAAAGGTGTTCCCTTGGTAGTTAATATAGTTTACCGGAGGGGGGGGGGAAGTTAATTGCGCAGCTGGATGATTCTCTCTGCATATGGAGTTTGCAGGAGAAGTGTGGTTTTGGGGGAAGAGCTTGGTTTGTCGATCTTGTTGCTGGGTTGTGGGATGTGGGATGATATAGGCATTCAAGTAATTGCTATCATCCCGTTGTTAGTGTGGGTGATGACAAGGTCAGTCATCGCTGTTAAACAATATCTTGAAGGAGGCTACCCATCTTTAATGTTTGGGTTGAGCAAAGTCCTCCATTTTCTTGCATTCTGTGTTAGTAGAATTGCAAGAGGAAAACCTGCATTTGGATGCACGGTTTCTCATAGAGTCATTAGAGTATATAACTCTATAGGTTTTGTTTCGAGACTCCTAGAATGCAGTTTTGTTTTTCGATCCCTAGGAGTGGAATGGTGTCATAGGTTAGGTCTTCAGCAACAGGGTGCTTTTTTCGGGTTCTTTCGTTTCCCAACAGTTTCCATCATGAGTTCCCGTCGCTTTCAATGCCAGTTCGGGTTCTTTTCAAGGTTTGTGATCCGCGGTTCAATCGGCTTCTCTTGGTCCACAGTTTGGATGTGGTTTGGTCTTCTGGGTTGTCCAGGCTCTGTGGCTCTTGGTGTGCTGCACGATCTTTTCAGTATTTTCTTATCTTCGATCCTCCTTGACTAGTTCTTAATGTGTGTGGTCTTTTTATGTTCATGTACTGTTTAGGTTGTAATTGTTTTTCTTTAATAGTATCTTTTATTAAAAAAAAAAAAAAAAAAAAAAAAAAATATATATATATATATAGTAATGTTTGAATGAGGAGTACTCCGTAGTAAAAAAAAAGCTGAAATTGGAGATCGAAAAGGCAAATGATGAGGTGTAGGATGAGAAGGATGACATTATTATGATGAGAAGAAAGAAAAAAGGCGAAAGATAGAGTCGATTATAAAGACGACGCGTGTGAGTAGCGGCCTCGGTTCGCTGCAATCTGTACCTTTAGCTATCACCCCTGTCTTTCTCGAATTAATGTCTCGCCTTTGTGTTTGTAATTGTCTTCAATTCCCTCTCTTTGCCGCATTTATGCAGTAACAGCCAATGCCATCCTCGATGTTTATTCTTTTTAGCTTTCTTACCA